TAACTAGTACAATTCCCTTTTATGTAGTGAGCGCTGCCTTCCGTCTGCCCATCACTTCCAACAACTTCCTGGATTCCCAGTGTGCTTTGCATCTCTTTCCCTGATGCATGATGTGATGCAATCTGGATTTCTCAAGACTACATTTTCCAGCATGCATTGCTTCCAGCAATCAATGATGATGTTACATTGTTCAAATGTTGCGTTGTAGCTCAGAAGGCAGGTTCAGAGTTGCGGCTCACGGAATTGCATATTCACAGGGCTGAGTGACATCGCGTCAGTGCACTGGGGGAAGTACATCCTATGGGCATATCTGCTGAAGTACATCAAGAAGTTTACAAACTCCTAGATGGATAGGATTAGGAGTGGGATCAAACCCATGGAAATTTAATATAGAAATTCATATTTATTTTTTCGTTTTTGACCATAGATACCCTTGAATAATATAACAAATCAGCAGGTGCTGGCTCTCACTTGCAGATGAAATTATAACTAGTATAACAGAGATACTACTGTGTTACAAGTAGCTACATTAGCCACATAAATGCTGTAAATAATAATCCTATAGACTAGGGATAAGCAACCTCAGCACTCCAGCTGTGGTAAAACAACAAAACCCAGCATGCTGCTGCCTCTGGGAGTCATGCATTTAGCCGTCAGTGTCTTGCAATGCATCATGGGAGATGTTTCACAACAGCTGGGGTGCTAAGGTCCCTACCCCTGCCATAGACCGGTGCTGATTGCCTTTGGCTGATAGAAACAATGTTGCAAAACAGAAACAATAAATACACTCAGTGCTCTGACAATCTATGCAGTGTCAGGAGTCTGCACGGATCATCACTGCATTGACCTTTTCTGTTTTGCAACATTGTGTCCATCAGCTAAAGGCAATCAGCACCAGTCTGTGGCAACTTTTGGCACTCCAGCTACTAGTGCTCATTTAATCTGCAAGTGCAAGCTCCAGTTGATTTATGTTAATTAGACTCTTAAAAGGAGAACTATGAGGTGAGTGCTTTTCACTCACCTCATAGTTCGAGCCGACCTGTGACAATGAGACTGTCACACGTCGGCTCAGTATATCGGGAGGTGAGGGAACACATACCGGCTTTCGCTCACCTCTCAACCCTGTCACGGCTCTCTGCCGTGACAGGGGAGGGGCTGGATTCCCCTCTCCCTGCTCAGATCTGCCAGCGCTTACTGGCGGAATGGACGGGGGAGTGGGCGGGTACAGCTGGCTCTGCCTCTAGATAGGCAGATACAGCTGTCACTCACGCAGCTGGGCGGATCCAGACATAATTTTCGGGATCCGCTTCAGCGTCTCAGTATACCGCAAGCTGTGTCCTCCCATTACCCTAAGGAGAGCTATGGGGAAAAGCCCTAACCCCATAGTTCTCCTTTAAGAACATTCGACCAGAAGAGAAGTTACACTAAGAACATTCCATTGTGCCCTATTCTCACAACAGCTGGTTAACGTGCACAGAAGGAAGGTAGTTGCAGTTTCCATGGATGAATAGCTGTGCATCTTTATTTATGAGCAGACCCCAATGTGGTGAATAATAGCTGCAATTTAACAAATTGGACATTTATCCTGATTAACGTATGACGTTTAAAGTGTATGCAGGCCGTAACAATAAACTTCTCTTATTTGCTCAGTTTTGGTTAGTTAAATATAAGATCAAAAGCTTTTTGTTGCATCTGTTGAATAAGTGAAAAGAAATGCCTGTTGATCCTGCAAAAACATCCAGTGAGCTGATATCTTCATGCCCACCTTGCCTATGCTACAGTGTTATCAGCTCTCTCTTTGGGCAATAGAAACCTCTCCCCTATATTCTACTGAACAGGAGACCAAGGCCTTGTGCATACCAGATACAGTGCATTCCGGGCCGATTCTGGCCAGAACGCACTGCATTGCGGCCAGCTCATGTTGTGGGGCAGGAGGGGGCGTGGTGGTCCATTGAAGTGAAGGGCACCGTACCCACACACTCTGGCCTCAATGCGACTGGTTGCACAGGACTGCAAGGCACAATATGCCTGCGGTCCGATCAAAATAGTGTTTGCAGCATTTTGTTCGGACCGGACCGCAGGCATAATGTGCCTTGCATTCCCATGCGGCCGGATGGCGTGGCTACGGTGCCACTCACTTCAATGGAACGTCACGCCTCCACCTGCCCCACAACATAGTGAGCCGGCCGCAATGCACTGCGTTCTGGCCAGAATCCACCCAGAACACACTGCATCTGGTGTGAACGAGGCCTTAGGGTTAGTTCACACCAGATGCCATCCGTTCAGTTTGGCATCTGCATCCAAAATGCATCACAATGCTTCCTTATGGGATTTCTGGTGCTCTGTTCATACCAGTGCAGTCAGTTCCAAAAGCAGTCAGAAAAAAATACCGCTTGCCGTATTTTAGCTGCATCAGGGCCCAGTCACACCATAAAGAGTGCGTTCCAGAGCGTTCAGCCTCTGGAATGCACTAGAACGCAACCCGGCCGACTTTGTTTTGGGGCGGGAGGGGGTGTGGCGGTGCATTGAAGTCAATGGCACCGCAGGCACGCACCACGCCCGCAGTGTGATTGCCGACACCCGAATGCATTGCACATTAGTGCCCACGTTCCAGTCCAGTGTGATCTGCAAAAAATGCTGCATGCACTACTTTTTGCAGATTGCGCTGGACCGGAACGCTCTGGAACGCATTCTTTATGGTGCGATTGAGCCCTCAAAACACAAAAACCCATGCAAACACACTAGAACGCACCTAAAATCCAATTTTAAGCACACAAAAAACAAACTTGCATCGTGGTTAAATCGAAGCAACATGCAACGCATTGCAGCTGTGCAGACTCACATCTCTGGTGGGAACTAGCCCAAAAGTGTGGTTCTATAGTCCTAAATACATTTCCTATTCTAGGGTGGCAATGCTGCTCCCCAACAATACAATATAATACAGTGAATGTTGCCACTCTAAGACAGAAAGAGTCTCACTGGCAGGATCACCCGGTGAAAACAAAAGAAGACAAGACTAATGCAGCCAAGGACTGGTAATCTACAGTTAATTAAATTTTTCGTCTTGGGTTTAAACTTAGCCTGAATGTTGGATCATGCAACACCCGTCTCCTTTCTTTCCTTTCATGCCCTCCTGATAAAATTACTGTACGATATAAAATGGTGACGAGTATTCTAGAGAATGTCAGAGGCAGGAAAGTGAAAAACCGGCTTTTTTTCTATACGTCAGCCTTGTAAAGTGATTTCTTTTGCACAGCAGAGGACACCTCTGGCTGATCTCGCACCAGGTGACATCATCGCTACTCCAACCTCGCTAGTCATGCCTGAGAAACCGGCAGCTTATGCACAACTGTCTATTGCGAAATTCTGCCCTCCAGGGGTTCAGTATGGAGAATAATCTTCTGCGGTTGAAGCCATCATTAATCAGGCAAGACATGGTTTTGTCACATATTTTCTGTATTTGCTGTTTGGGTGCTACAGGATCATTGCACTGCAGATGGTAGTTTACACATCACGGCGACATGAGATATGTCAAGCGACAGGCTAGACAAGGCGTTGGCGCAATGGACCCACCAGCTGTCGAGAAACTGAAGTCCCAGCATGTACTCCCAGCCAAATATTTAAGACTTTTCAAAGGTAGACAAGGACCTACCTTGTCTTGGATGAGCGAGGATGAAAGATCACATGATCATGCTGTACCTAAAATGCCAAAGAACCTTCACGGTGACCAATTTATTTGCTATGGCAGAGAGCGTCAGCCACTTCACCCCATATCCGCCTTACAGGCCCAGAAGGAGGCAAATCCTCTATGCCAACTTCTGCACACCACACCAGGCAAGACAACGCTGCAACTTATTATGGGATATGCTGGTCAAAAAAAAAAATATATATTAATCCAACACTCAATGTGCTGGATACTATTCTGGCCATCTTCCTAGTATGGCTTTTCAGCAAAAACATTCAGCAACCAACATACCAGCAGCCTTGTGAACAGTCCGCAAATTTGTATTTCTGAAATACCACATGTGGCAGCCTTGAACACCCCTCCTCCTATGGCCACGTTATGCCCCATTCCCTCAAATGCCAGGTTTGTAGCCTTTGCACATAAATCAGGTTTATAGACCAAAACTCCAACCAGGTGACCATCTCCTGAAATGCTACCTAGAAACATTTACTGCTGCATTGAGGGTTTGAATCTCACAGACATAATACCAACAGATACCTCGGACCTCCATAGGTCTACAGACTTGGATCTTAATTCATGAGAAACGGCAAACTGTTGGTGATCTGTTCTCAGGTGTCACGCTTAAATGGTTTGCTGACCTCTGCTCAACCTACGGGATCTGTTGCAAAGACTTCTACAAATACCTTTCCATCTGACATCTTCTATCCTCTATGCAGGTGAAGGATATTCTCCTTATCTAGAAACTTATCACCTTTTATGAAGACAGACCCACATGAAAAGGGATAGCAATGGACCTCAATCCAGCAGTTAAAATACAAGCGATGGAAACATGGGGTCCAGAGCTTAAATCCACCCAACCTATCCAGCAACGGTGCTCTGCACTGCATTGGTCCCTTTAAGGTTTTCAGATGTTTAGCCCATTGGGAATCTGCACAAAAACTACTCCACAGATGGTACTCAAAGCTGGCTGCAATTTTCCCAAAACAACCTCCAATGTTCTGGAGATACTGCGGACCCTCTACAACAGTGGTCACTAACCCCCGGTCCGCTGATCAAATGGTACCGGGCCGCACAGTCTCAGTGCGGTCCGGTCCTGCAATATGGGGCAGTGCAGGGTCCCGGTGTTCGAACATCGGGGCCCCGCACTGCCGACGGGCTTCACAGTGAGGGGGCGGGTCCTGTGACTCACCTCCCCTCCCGGCAGAGCCGGTGTGATGTGGGGAGGGATGATGCCTATGCCAGGATTGAGGGGCCCCATCATGACAGCTGAAGTGGAAGCCACCGCAGAAGTAATGGGAGCGTTAGGTGCTGCTACCGCCGGAACCCCCGCTGGAACGACCGGCGGAACTACCGCCGGGGCAATCGCCAGGACCGCCGTCGGACCTACAGCCACCAGCCTCTCCAAGTTGTCCGTCCTGTGCTGAAGGTCGTGCAGAGACGTGGACATAATGTTCAAAGTGGAATGAATCTGTGTCAGAGAAGTGACCACAGTCTCCATGGAACACAGTGTGTTGGTGTTAGCGGCCCCAATTGTAAACAACGCACTCACATCCTAGCACTTTGCCAATGCTGGAAAATTATATGAAACAGAATTGCATTCCAAAAAAATCTAATGTACTTTGTTCCAGAAGCGGCTGCTCTCTTGGCACCATATCGCATACGTGTACATGTAATGTACACACATCCAGAAATAATGTTAATCACTCTTACTGAAGCTCTAACACTCCCTCTGCTGTTTACTAAACACCCGCATAGCAATGGCATTTTTCACATTCTTCATATTTTAGCAACCATTTCTCCATCTCAAGCCAGGCAATATCCGAAATTCCTATTGCCACAAGGAACACCTGTTTGGCATCTGTTTAGTTCAGCTTACATAAAATGTGTTGTGCAACACAGAAGATTCTTAACAGTATATGTAAAAAGCCAAAACAGGGAAAGTGTAAAATCCTTGTTAGATTTTGTTTTGCCATCTGTATCCCATTGGAAAGATTCCCCATTTCTGTCCTGTGAAAAAAAGAAGAAGTTAGAGAAATGCCATTTTAGACCGTTGTCAATGTGTCCCCATTGGGTTTTAACCATTCCCTACTCTATCTTAACTTAAAAAAGTTTTGTCTTTTGATACAGTTTAAATTAAAGATGAACTCCAAGCAACAGCTAAATACACAGACAAAATTCATACCAAAGAAATGTTGCACCTGCAAAATGGATTTGTATTTCTGTCTGTTGTAATCCAGTTTTGAGATTTTACACAGCACAGCCCATTCTGGCAGATTAATAGACCTGATTTTTTTTGTTTCCAGTTAAAAAATGATTCCACATCCCAACTTTAGGGTGTAAGATGAAGCATGGTCACACACCCCAGCCCCCATTTATCTGAATTACAGGGTTCTGTATTCATTTGAATTTGCTGTCTGTATTAATTGAATTCACTGGCCAATGAGAAGCATTTCTGACTTCCGGTGACCTGGTCTCTGTCTCAGAAGCGCTTCTCATTGGTCAACGTGGTCTTGTGACCATGCTGACCAATGAGCGCTTGCTGTGTGGGAGCATTATGTGTGTTCTGTACTTTGGGGCTAGGAAGTCCAGTGTCTGGTCTGCTACACCAGATGGCTGGGACTTCAGACTTGTAAGTGGAGGACCAGCGGAGGGAGGAGGGGGGTGCTGTGAGAAAGTGAGCTTAGGCTTTAAAGACACTACATCAACATCATCAACAGCTTAGCAACTACCTTCAGAAGTCAGCAATGTCAGCCTATATAATTGTATCACTCTTTAATATTGCACACAGAACAGACATTCCACCTAAAGCATTGATATCAAAAAGCATCCAATTATGCCAACTCCATGCACATTCCGTTTCGATTTCTGATCCAATCCACATCTGAGGGATTTACTTAAAAAAAAAAATGGGTAGGAGGGGAACATATCCAGCACAGTAGCAGCTGACCTGCCCCCGAGTTGCAAGCAATCCCCAACTGAGGACCGGAATGAATAATGTGCAATCATCTTGCATTGTTTTCATGTTTATCTCAAAACAGGAACATGTTCTGTGAGTCATAGAAATCATTAATTCTATTCAGCGGGGAAAATAGCAGCCATTCTTAAGCTGCCAGCTAGGCATGCGGCTTCCCAGAGCTACACAATGGCAAGGAAGATAGGAAAATTGTATTCAACGATTCTGCGGCTCCTAACTTGTCGAAGCCTGACAGCCGCCATAGCCGGTGTTTTTTTTTTCTTTCGTATATACGCCAGCAATATGGGATGGCAGTTATTGGCCTGGGATGATGACTGCAATTATAATACAAAGTCTCATGATGATAAAAGAAAGGACTCGCTTCCGCACAGCTGTTCAAAACCTCCGACTACCGATCCAAAAATATTCCCGGAGGGCAGTGGCGCAGGTCAAAGATATATTCAACATGGACAAGTCTCCGGACTTGAAGCAAGCAGCAGGTGTCAGAATACTGAATGCTACATGCTGTACAGGCAGGGCCTCTTTGTACATCCTGCTAAGTGGATTACAAAGCGGCAATTAAAATGTTTCAACATAAACCAGTTTAATTTACAGCTTGGACTGAAATCATATATTGAGGTTGCGGCAGACATAAGTTTGCAGTTTCATTATCTGGGAGATTATGGCCAGTTGTATGTCTATGTGACCTGCCCAGACAAGCCCTGGCCAACAAACATTTGACAGTAGATTAGTTAAGTAGGAACCTTGGTCTGAATTGACCATAACGAGCAGTTCAGTGTCCCGTACAAACACTGAACTGCTGCAAAGACCTTATCACACCAAGGATTTCTACTGCACATAGGATTATGTGCAGGGGCTGCAAGTCCATCAGTATCCTGTCTGTTGCCTAAGCCCTGTTGAAGGGGGATTTCGGACCCCCAAAGTGCATAGACTGTACATATCTTCTTCTTGTGATGCCAATAAAGGTTTTTTGGAATCTTGAGATTATTGTCTGGCAGTCTTCATTCATGTGGATTTCTCATTCTGAGTACCTCCTTCCTCTGGTGGGCCCCCTCTTTTAGTTAAGAACTGAGCCAACAGGCCCAAATATTGGTCCTAGTCAACTAAAGAGTATGTGGTCTAGCGCCCCACTGCCCCTTTTGGTCCCATTGAAGACACTGAAAAACAATACCTAGATCCTAAAAGGCGATCCCTGTCATTTGGCAATGAACAATTGAAAAAAAAAAACACTATAGAAAGAATGTTTCTCCTCACTTTTCATCACAGTGTTGTTGATCAAAAGCAAGGCAAAACCTCCCCAACACGGGGTTTTTCTGAGGCTATCGGCTGACCAGAGTAAACATTGTGGCTTTAATAGGTCCTCATCATGGAAGAACCAATACAAAAATGGTATGTGAAGGATACAGGGAGCGGCATATAGTTTTCAAGAGGGGCTGAAGCCTAATGATCCTCCCCCACAACTGTGCTGCTAGGCAGCTCTGCAATAAAGACCCAAACAAGAAAAACATAGGGTTCAAACCATTCCCCACTCCCCTAATTTTCATCATCATAATCACAGAATGCAATTTGTGACATAAGTGGTGGAGCAGCTTGCATTAAATTAAAGCACATTTTTCAAGTGTTCTTCATGCAGCAGGGATGCCAAATAGTCACCCAGGGGAGGTTCAGTTGGCATAGTCAACTAACAACTGTATGGCTACATCATTTTACATAGAAAATTGATGTGATGCTGCCCATCTGAGAAATTCCAACCAGTAACTGAGCTAAATACAACACTAGATACAGACTATGCTCTGGGTCAGTCACAGTGCTCTTTACATGCTAGATATATTTAAGCAACCAATCATATGACTGTCCCCATTTGTTGTTTTTTTTTAAAGGATGGACTCTCAATTTTTTGACCCAGGGGAATCCTTGAAATATTTTTTTTTAGGCGTCAGGGAACCATGCCCCTAACACTGGTTACCAGAATGCCACCCTGATAGACAGCTAAAAAGATCATTAGTGGCATGCTGCGATCTCTGTCAAGTGGCATTGCACCTGGTAACACCCCCCAAACGAGGATTCTTTTGGCCATACCTTGCTGTACTGTTCAGCATCTGTTATCAGGTAACAGTTCTACCTTTTCTCCAAGTCTCATAAATCCCAACTTATCTACAACATCTGCTGCTGTCCTAACTCTTCCACTTTTTCAGTGGTCTTTTCATGCATTGCCCCCCTGGTGTTTTAAGACCAAGCTCTGCCAAAGTAGCAAAACAAACCTGAGTACAGCGTTACTTTTATTGACACAACCCATCCGTCTCACCAGATATTCAAGTTTGTAAACATTCAGAAAAAGCCGTCGTAAAAGTTTATGAACCAGAAGATCTGGTACGAAAGATGCCATCCTTTATTTGCTCAAAAACACTTCAATTTTCCTGAGGGCAAACACAAAACAACAAACTAAAAAAGACGAGAAACACCGCTCAGCTTCTATAGCCTTCCATGGTGTCCTCAATGATTGCTTGCCTATAAGCAGTGTGTCTTTTACTAGATCTCCACTAAGCACTAAATTGGCCACATAACTTCCCCATTACAAGGTAATTCTTCAAGAAGGATACATGTCTTATGGAAAAGCAGATGTGGTTTTAAAGCAGGGAACTGTTTAAATCTTTTAATGTGACTAATTGCAGAGCTATTCCAGGCAACAAATGAAAGCAATCTCTGATGCTGTCTAGCCAGCAAGCACTGATAATGTACTAAAGGTAGAAAGTTTACCTAATTTACTTTAGTTTAAGCCATCCACTGCCAAAGATCCAAAAAGCTCTCGTGTGGCC